TATTATTAAAGTTGTAATGCTTCAATAAATAACTTGAATTCGTTAAGAAAACATAAATTTCATAGAATTATTGCGTTATTGTTTTTTTTAACTATTTTTCAGTGGCATAATTAGGAACTGTAACTGTAATGACTAATTTCTGTAACTTCTTAGCAGTTTTGGTACGTTCAATTGTAAAAAGTATGTGTATTTTTAATTTAAGCAGGTTTCACTGAAGAGCAGAGAATTCATTTTATTGATAATTTTCTTATTAGTTTATTTAATAGATCGAACAAGATTTTTCGTTTGCACTGGTAAATCGAAAATCAGATTACCACGTGGTGGGTGCCACTGCAATGTTCCACCCACGGCCTTCAAAACAACATTTCGAGCGGGAATCGAACCCGGGCCTATACCCAGTGCCCGTAAATTTTCTCACAAATGCATATTTCCAACTAGGCTATTAAGTCATTAAGCCACCTACAGTCATGCCAACCTAGTACGTCTGTAGTTGATCAGATTGAGGATAGCACCCCAGCCTTCAACCTTCACAGCCATCAACCTTCTGACTGGATTTGTCAGAACCTTGAGACTGTTTTCGGAGTAATTTTCGGCGCTTTACTTCTTAATTATTTTTGTGATTTTGTGATTATTCCTAACATTTCGATTTTTGAGTAGTATCCTATTTACTTGATTTTGCACTTATGTCGACCCAGTTTCCATCACTCAATGCGCCTTTAAACTTGATAATGAATGATAGAAACATTCGAAACGTCTTTAAAGAAATAAAAATGTCCTTCGGTAATCTGATTTCGATTTACCCGTACAAACGAAAAATCTTGTTCGATATACTGAAAAAACTAATAAGAAATTAGTCAATAAAACGAATTCTTTGGTCTTCAACGAAACCTGCTTAAAAGAACAAATTTTGCCAACCAAAATATACTAATATTTTTAATGCTCTATGTTTCCTGGATAAACGACATTGGTTGCACGAAATTGCAGTGAACGCCAGCGGAAGCGTGTGTGTCATGAGTCGGTAGAGCTGTAATTACCTTTCACGTGATATTCATAACGTTCACCCAGTATTAATTAGTTCTTAATCATAATACATAATATCAACATTCCTCATCGAACGTTTATCATATTTTCAAAACGAGCTCGCTATCATAAGTCTAATCGATCTGAAATTTTGCACACTGACGTAAAATCGGAGACAATACTGGAATCAATTGAAATAAATAATTTTAATAATTAAAAAATTTGAAATGATTTTTTTTAATATTTGAAAAGAAAATTAGAAATTCGTTGTACATGTGTAACATCGGAGACACTGGATTCTTTAGAAGTGTTGTTTTTAAAAAGTAATTTGCAAACGCATATTATTGGTGTTTAAACAACGGCGTAGTAGCAACATAACTTCAATGGTGCACCGCAACGTCACGGTCCGCGTCGCTCTAACGTAGACATCATAAATTTGTTCCTAAAATGTATTGGTAATTTAAACAACTTCGATTACAACTTCATGTCATTAAAACAACGTTTAATGAACGTTATTTTAACGTCAAATGCTGATGAGATGGAAGTACAGACCGTGTCAGGGTTCTGAATAATGAGTAACTATGTTCCATTACTCGCAGGTTTATCGCTTCGGTCTTGTGTGCAAAAACTTATTTCAGCATACTAAGTAATACATCAGGATATACATATAGGTATAGGCACTATTTATATCATTTCTGTACATAGTGAGGGTAACGTCATAATAAGTGTTTAGGTGTTACAGTGTGTGTTACATGAAGTAGGGATCGAGACTTGACCGGCCGCGGGTGCAGGTGGGTGACGGTTATGAAGCGCTGTTTTGACCTGTACCTCTTTGCGGCCTGAATGCGAGAGACGACAACCTGTTCGTTGCACCCGAGAGGCGGCAGGCCTTTTAAATACTACACTACATGATACCATAACATTGCGCACCGCAAATATTTTCACAAGCTATCGACAACGCAATTTTAGGTTGTTTGTGTCAGACGGACGACAGAAACTGTCTGTCTGTCCGCCACGGACGGCCGCGATGTTGCACCCACGCCTTCAAAACAACATTTCGGGCGAGAATCGAAACCTGGCCTCCCCAGTGACCGCAAATTTTCTCACAAATGCATCTTTCCCACTAGGCCAATAAGTAAGCCACTCATAGTCGTGCAAACTGTCGTCTGTAGTTGTATGGCGCTCACTTGGACACCCCGGGACAGCAGTGACGGGACAGTATAAATGACAACCAATTAATTATCTTCACAAAATAAACAAAATTCGCGATTTTATCACGCCAAGGCACGGCAGATGCAACAATATTGTCGTTTGTTCACCAAGTCATTCACACGTTTTCAATGTGTCTATCTAGAAACGCCATGAACCCTTTCTTATATACTTTTTCATATATTATACACAATAAAAGTTTTCAATATATTGTGTGAGTGTGCAATATCCAATATATCATATTTCTTGTATTGTTAATGGCCTTATTTAATTAAGAACTACGAAACCATGATATAATTTACCGTTCACTATTGTACATAGTATTAATGAATAATAATGGTTCAGAAAATGTGACCGGCGCCGGTGCCACATTGTTCATATCACTTCGCAACAATCACAACAATTTAATAACTGTGATTAATTAATAATGACAACAGTGCCTGCTACATTATTTTATTTATTATATATAATTTAATATCAACGGTGCGGTGCCATGGGTTCATTTCAACGGGGAACTTGCGCTGGGTTTAGTCCGCCGCTAATGACAGGTGGCAACAGCGCTGCATAACTGCGGCACACTGGAGCGGCGGCCGCAATCTTGCCATAAGATTTGATATACTCTTAAAACAATTGAGAACAGCTTCCATATTATTTCGGACACTGAAGTTGTGTCAATTCCTTATACATGTAATTGTTCTACATGTTCGTCGTGAGTGGATTTTTCTTTATGCCCTTAAAACGAAAGAGTAAATTGGAAATGTGTCAAGTAGTTTAAAGTTATATAAAAAAATCAGAAAAATTATTGCTCTATAAATATTATCATCTTATCGAAATATATCATTAACTACTCACAGCTTTACATGGGATAGATTTGGAAGCTCGTTCACAACGGTATATATCAGAAGATGCAGCTATAGCTTGATTTATTTAATCTAATTACGACATTGGGTCATAATCGAAAAGTTTAGTTTAACCAAAAATATCTATACATAAAGAAGGGATTGATATAATTAGTAAGATGAGAGAGAACACATCAGTTTGCAGAGCTGACAGCGTGTGGCTTGTCACGAGAGTTTATCCCAGACACTCGTGGATGGGTGTTAATAAATGCCTGATCTCATTATTTATTATACTTCTTATTATGAGTCCATCTTTAAATGACGTGCTCTGCAAATCAGAGTTGCATAAGAAGGCAGAACTTATGTTAGTCTTAATGGTAATTCCTCTGAACGTTAGTCAGCAACGACAGAGCGAGGCACTTGAAGAATTTATTCAGATATCTACCTAGGCAAAAATAGTCGTATTACATGAAGAACTACCTCGGTGTGCCACAATATTAAAATAATATCTTATGAAGGAAACGTTCTGGTCAGGGTTATACAGTACAAACTGCCTGGTTAAGTTGCACAAAAGGGAATTTACAATAGCAATTCATTCAAAATTCATGGGCAATTAGCTTCATTTGCACAATCGTGTTGATTGCGCCGTAAGCTAGAATGTCAGTATCAAAAAGAACAACACGCCATAAATGGGGGCAAAAACCTGCTAGGAAAATTGACAAGATTTCAAAGAGCATTCACTTGATTTTAACCGGATTCAGTAATGCTACGTATAGGCTTCAGACTGGGCATGCAGTATGACGTGCTTAAAAATCAGCTAGCAGTATATTATAGTTGGAACATCTCTGCTCATATCACTGATCAGGTGAAACTTCATCATCAATGTTGGACATTTAGACATGAAAATAATGCCAAGTCATCAGAAAGTGACTAACGGTATTCATGTTATCATGGGAGAACTTGACTGCAGAATTCTTATATGATGCGGATCACATATGCTAAGTCGTAATACTGCATAGGACAAGTTAGAGCTACTGACCTCTGGAAGATCCTACCAATTTACTGTATTTGTTCAGAAACAAGTTCACAGAGTCTGATAATAAATATTATAAAAGTAGTATTTATATTAAACAATAAATAGGGCATTAAGGAGGAAGGAGGTTGGAGGGGTTGTGAGCTTGAGCGCAGCAGTCGGAGCAAAGCTCGCAGTGGCAACAGCGCCTCATAACTTCGGTTCACCGACAGCGTTTGGCCAACTTACTCTCATAAGATGGACAATTATTTAAAATTCTTCACATTGGTTCGTTCGGATAATATTCAGACTTCGATGGTATGATGACATTTTCTCACAATCTGCTGTTGCTTTCAAACAGACTAATTTAATTGTGTTGTTCCTTTAACTTCAATCAACGTACATTGTGACTGTGTCATGTGATAATGTGACAACGTATTGTCTGTTGTGTTGTGCTGCATCTTGATAGCACTAAAATTAATGCCAAGTCATGTACGTATCTGATGTTTCAGAAAATAACAATTTTTTGTCTATTATAATAGCTTTTTGTTTATGCTATCCATAAAAAACCCAGCCGTTATTACCCTCAGCGCTCAGGCCTCATCCATTTTTAAAAAATAATGTAGTTATACCATTTATATTTGCTCTATCTAACAAAGAAAACTTTTCCAGGATCAGCTCAGCTATACAGTATTCGAGAGATTAGAGTTAGATTATATCATGATAACATCAGCATTCTAAGTACACTGAATGATAAATCAAGTTAGAAATTATATCTCGAATGCTTACTGAATGCTTCTCATACTGAGCAAAATCAATAGAAAATAGTAGAGGAGTATTGGTCGGTAGATAATACAACGCAAGGAGTCGTGGACCGAAGTGAACGACAACAAACGCGCGCTTCTGCCATCAGTCTTCAGTGAAATCTGTGCCACTCGCTTCCCGGGATACTGCCTCATATACACGGATGGCTCCCGCTCAGTAGCACCACCCCAATCTGTGGGCACTGGATTAGTTATACCATCTGTATCCTACCACAAGGGATGGCGCCTCAATCCCAGCCACTCAATCATAGCTGCAGAGCTATATGGCATCCTACAAGCTGTGAAATACCTATTGGACAACCGCATTCACCCAGCACTGATTTGCACGGACAGTCTATCTTCACTACAGCTCCTAATGCAACCATTCCCGAGGAGCTACTCACATCTTATTGCCATTATCCACCATAATCTCCTTCAACTTCCAAGGGGAGAAGTGCATTTCCAGTGGATACCAAGTCACTCGGGCATACAGGGCAATGAGGCGGCAGACAGAATCGCTAAGCAGGCAGCAACGTCTGACGACCCACTGGCAGACATACCATTCGAATTCTCTGAACTCAAGTCTATAGTACAGAAGGGAGCCTGGAACTTTTGGCAAGCTAAGTGGACATCANATACCTATTGGACAGCCGCATTCACCCAGCACTGATTTGCACGGACAGTCTATCTTCACTACAGCTCCTAATGCAACCATTCCCCAGGAGCTATTCACATCTTATAGCCACTATTCACCATAATATCCTTCGACTTCCAAGGGGAGAAGTGCATTTCCAATGGATACCAAGTCACTCGGGCATCCAGGGTAATGAGGCAGCAGACAGAATTGCTAAGCAGGCAGCTACGTCTGACGACCCACTGGCAGACATACCATTCGAATACTCTGAACTCAAGTCTATAGTACAGAAGGGAGCCTGGAACTTCTGGCAAGCAAAGTGGACATCAATTCGTGGCCAATTTGCCCTGGGTACAATCAAACCATCAGTGCGACCATGGTCTCTTCGCAAGCTACAGACTCGTCGAAATGAGACACTCTTTGCAAGACTCCGCCTTGGCACAGCTCCGCTGAACAAGGCCCTCTACCAAATCCGCCAAGCCCCCTCCCCGCTCTGCCCCTCATGCAACACCCCAGAAACCTCGCATCATTATCTCATCTCTTGCACGGAGTTTGAAGAAGCCCGTGAGCAACTGCGTCGCCAAGTAAACTCGCATGGAGTTCTTACACTCAGCACTGCTTCACTGCTGGGAGGAGACACCTCCAACTGCCCTGCCTGGCCACACATCTGCAAAGCTGTTGAAGAATTCATCGGCAAAACTCATCGATTCCAGCCCTGAGACTTAATAAATAAGCAGATTACGGCGAGAATCGCCTCTGGTGGAACACGCCGTCAACTAATAGAAGATCAAGATCAAGAGTCTGAGTCTCAGACTCTGAGACTCAGACGTCCGCCTGTCGTTGTCGACTCAACGCAAAGGGCTTGCCGTGAGACTAAGGGTGTGGACGGTGGACCACAAATTATTTATCTCTTCAAATTAACGAACAGCTCACGAGTCTCGCCGAGCTTCACCTTGTATTAAATACATTTGAACTGCTCAACATTCAATCAGTTATCAGTCAACTATCTTTAGCAGTAATTAAACCTAGCCTGTAAGTGTAGGCTGTAGCCTGTAGGGACTGTAGCCTTAGCCGGCCTTACTAGGCCTAGTTACCTCACTTACCTGTCATAATGTCATATAACTTATAATGTTATGCTATATTAATTATTATAGACTATGTAGAACGTAGCATACCTAGTTGTTATGGCTGGGCATTGTCCTCTTAGCATGATGGCATCATCATGGCAATATGCAAATGCAATATCCAATATGGTTTTGAACAGCCAGGCATTAACATCAAAGTTCAATCATTTTCTACCAGTAAAACAGTAAAATGTTTTCTAAACCCAGTAGAATTAGGTAATAGTATACCTATGCTATGCAGTATGCAATATGCTTGTTAGTTGTTCATAGCCATAGGCATTGGAACAAAATATGAACAAAATTGTGAAGTTGGGAGTTGGGACTTGGGATCTGTTCAACAAAGCAGACGTGGCGTGACACTGACTTGTGAGCCTGTTGGCTGTGGGTCTGGGGTCAGCATAGTGGCAAAGCAGAGAGTTTTTTAGACTCTCCCTCAAGTTCATTTCTGAGTCCTATAAGTAGACCAGTAAAGTATCCTGGGGACCTGGATAGTGGATACCAGCATCATCATACTTGAAAAATTGATTTAAATCTTAAGTAAATGAGGAAATTAAAACTGAACTGAACTGATTCTAAAAAAGCTCTGGTTTGCCACTATGCTGGGCCCCTGGGGTGTGACCTGTGACCGTGTGAGTGACTTATGAGTTGTGAGCATCACATCATCCTCAATTTCTCAAATTTATTTGACCATAAACATGCTGAACTTAGAGTATAATAGAATAAATAGATTGTACAAATTATATTGCATTGAGTGATGGACTATTGTTTTCATTTCAAGATTTTCAACTCATTGCTACTTGCTAGGTTAGTAAGGTTACTACGTAGCTTACTATTTGTTACTGGTTACTTACTAGCAATACTAGGTAAGATGTAAGAGCCCACCTACAGAATATTTATTATTATTTATTTACCATACAAGCCAAATAGTCAATTCTTGCATAATGCTGAGACCTGAGACTGAGAGCTTGATTGTGTTTTTCATTTTCAGGGGCCTGCATGTGCATTGTGGCTGTATAGGCCTTACTGTCATCATTTCAAATTTTCAATTCAATTTTGAAGTAAAGCAACTCAATCATGAACTATTATTCATCAGTTCTGAGGCATTCTAATCCTCTTGTCGGTTTTATACCTTCCAAATCCTACAATGTATTTAATGTAGTTAGAGGCTACCCATGCATAAGTAAAGGCTTGAGCTCTACGCACACAAGTTGGACTTCAAAGAAAAGGATGGATTCATCATGTGGCATCAGCAGTCTTCATCTGGATCTCCTTTCATCAAACAATTTAACTTTGAAAATGTTGTAAGCTCTACCATATTGTTTGCATTGTGTGAAAGACCTAAAGAAATTTAAAATCTTTAATGTATGTTAGAATTATGAATTTCTTCAAGCTCACTCAAATTTTTGGTATTTGTATTTGTTTTCTAACTGCCTGATTGACATTGACCTACAGGCTACAGTTCTCTACTGTCTACAACCCTATACGTATAGGGCAGAATTGCCAATATGCATGCATGCATCAGTCACCCCAACCTTGAGACTTGAGAAGTTGAGTTATTGTTTTAAATTCAAGTGATGTTGTAGCAAATGCTTTAATATCTTCTATTTAAATTATTCAGTTCTAACTTCTGTGGTGAGAATCATTAATTCAAAATGCGAACAGGGAGATATTCAATTTATTAATATCCTTCAATCTTCATGAAAGGAAGATGGAAGATAATTTAAACCTTTTTGCTTTGCCCATATAAAAATTTACATTTTAATGCTCAAATTTGACAACTTTACTCAAGTAACAAAATATGTGTTTTACAAGGGCAATTTATTTAGTTGTTCACTTGTTCCTGTGTAACATTTTTTGAAAAGCAAGCACAAGGTTCATTCTATTTTTTTCTATGGAGGATTTTCTATGGATTTTCTTTTAGGTTAATTTTGGTAGAAAACAAGAAATGCATGATGTTATTTTACTTATGCAAGTGCAGAGGCCAGCGAGGAATGAAAATATACACAAGAACTGGTGACAGGGGCACAAGTGCTACCTTTACTGGGACCCGCCACCCAAAAGATCATGAGATATTTGAAGCCCTGGGTAACATTGATGAGCTCTCTGCACATATTGGGTGAGTTTACTTCTTCTAGCATTGCATGGTATTTAATCAGTCATGTTGGTAAGGCCTGTATTGGGTTGATATTGACAGGATGTATGCAAGTTTTTACTCCTTTCTATACTATGTTGCTTGCTATCCATCAGTTATCATAGTTCCTGTGTTTGCATGTCTTGCAGCTCATTATTTGATTATATATTAAATCAAACTGCTTTTGTTGATGTATTCAGATTATCAATACACTATCCTTGTGCAAGATGTTCTTTAGCTTAAGGACAGCTTGGAAAAGTAATTAAGAACAGGTTTTGATGAAATGAACTCATTCTCCCAACGCACAATATTATTTAGAGAAATTATAAGGAACCCAAAATTGATTTTGATACTTAGCAGAATACAAACTCCTTGTAATATAAATTGGATAAAAGTAGAGTAGTTAGCATCAATGTGTGATAAATGTAGCCTAATATTATGTCAATATTTGCATTTATTGACATAGAACCTCCTTTTAATGTAATATTTTTTTATTGATAGCGCTCTGTCACAATTGCCTGCTAAATGTTGCTTGTCATTTTTATTGTGATGATTTTTACATAGTTTATTGTTTTGTTCATAAATTGCACTGTCAATCTACAGTACTTTTGTCTAGGCATGTAAGGCTATGTTGTTTTCTTTGTGTGAACAAGGTGGACCTCTTTGAGTTATATCTACTAGGTATAAAATATTGATTCTAGCCTGTAATCGTTTTTCCAAAAAGTTAGCCTTTTCATAACTGTGACTATAATATGTGATATTATTTCTTGTTGCATTTTGATGTTGTTCTTAGTCTATGTTTCATTCTTCTAGATTAGTGCTACAAAGTTTTTGCCTCTTGCACTTGCAAGTTAGGTATATCTTTGAAATTTAATCTATAATATATTGACTTTTAATCTATCAATATAAGCCAAAGAATTAAACTATGATTATGTATATCTGATTGTAAGATACATTGATTCTTTTTTACATAAATGATATTGATAGTCCATTTCCTGTACATTGTAAATGAGGGATTGTTGTGAGGTTATTGTAGTTGAGTTACTCCTCAAAGGCAGATTTTGTGTGCTCAGTGTGACTGGGTTGGGGTGCATGCGTTTCAGTACAAATTTAAGGAGCCAGGTCTGGGCACAAGACACTGTTGTAGTTGTGGACATGTCACATAGACACAAGCTTAACTGACTCAGATGTAGGCATGAGATCCACTATAGGACTAAATATGAGACAGGCTGTATTCTTAGTTTGTCCTGGAAGCTGGCAGCGCTCTGTTGCTGCCAGTACCCGTACCGTGCGCACCTCTCGTGTTGTGAGGGCTAACACGCTGCACTCAAGTATACTTTGTCAACATATTAGTACGGCTAGTACCTACTTTATTTTCACCTCTCCAGTTGTGGGGGTTAATGCCTTCCACGCTCGGAAGTAATCAGAGTTGGGAGTTTTGTTATCATCACTAACTTTAATCAGCCGAGTATTGGGGCTAGTACCCTCAATAGCTGTGACTGGCTTTGAGAATTTTGGTGTGGCTAGATCCCGCCTCACTTGCTGTCTTAACTTTCCTGCATCATTCTCTGCATGCATTTTGCTGAGACTTGTGCACCCAGACTCATGATTCAGTTGTTTAGAACTTAAGTTATCTATGAAGAATTATAAGTACTATCCACCTTGAATGGAGAATTTTATACCTCTGTCTGTAAAGTGTCTTCTGTACACCATTGAAGACCACCAGTTTCCTGTGGAAGTCTATTTTGTGTTCATTTCATATTCCTCTCGAGAATTTAGAGCCTGACCAAAGCGCAATCTTAAGCCTTAGTGTTTAAAACTGATATGAAAATTTTTTTGCTTGTAAGTTGGCATGCTACTTATAAATGTTTCAACTTTGCAGTGGTTTTCCCAGTTACAAATGCTTGCCTTCTCTATCATTCTGTTTGCGTGATGCGATTTTTATAGCATTATCATTGGTCTTGCATCTTGTAGCAAAGTTAGTTCAGTTTAGACATAAATGCAACTGATGCATTGATGAGTGATTTTACATGCAATATGTTTCATATTGCAGTGTCTTGAGTAGGTAAGCCTCTTCTGTCTGCTCTCAAAAATCCCTTTTTCCAGCTGCCATCATGCAATTGTTACAATATGTCTGTATTGAGTTCTACTTTACAATCAGATTATATTACTAAAAGTGGAAACATTTCGCATTCTTTTGGCATTTTAATAGGACAGCTATGTTTTGCTCTTGAACCTACTTCATTTTGTCTGTGATTCAACGTTACTCTTTGCAATTTTTGTTCATTGCACATGCTTACAAAGTCTCTTTTGGTCTGAAATGCACTGTCCCGTAACAAGTGCCTGTGAGATTCAAAGGTTACTTCCCTCAATTTGGTATAGATTTATATTACAACACCGATTTTGATTCAAGTGTCTAAAATTGATGCGTAGGTATGTTTGGATAATTAGGGTTTAGTTTTCCAGGATGTTTAGTTGAATCTTCACTAGAATCTCTGCTCGTTGCTTTCTTTTGCTGACTACCTGGTTTCTACCCTCGAAGGTTCTTGTGCTTTACATGTCTTGGTGTGCTGGCAATAGTTCAGAGTCTGAGTGATACTTAATTTTTATTTGAACTACATGCTCAATAAATAACTACCTATTTATTTTGGGAAGTACATTGAATTTAGATTTTTGAACAATTGTGTGCTGCGCAGACTGGCGCGTGAGGTGGGCTGTGCGCGCAAGCATCAGTACTGTGAACAGCTCGAGAGGATACAGTGTCTGCTGCAGGACGCTGCCTCGGCCATCGCCCAAGTTCAGCCTCTGCCGTCTGGCGGCCTCTCTCCTGGTTTGTTGTTTAGTATGCAGATAAATTATCTCCATTTATGATTCATGTTACTTTTTTGAAGTGTTAATGTATACATGAAGAATTTTTTTATCTAGCTGTGTAAAACGGTTCTATCATAGATATTACAATGTTATGAATGATACTCTAACCCTTCTAAATGTGTTCCCTATGACACATTTAGCCCATTTGGTACTTTCTTGTAACGCTGTGTAGTTATGTCACAGAAGAGACGTCAAGCGACCAAAGTTCTCCGTGGCCGTCATCAGGCGTGAACGCGAGTCACATACAGGAGCTCGAGGCCTGGATCGATGAATATTCCGAGACCTTGCCGCCGCTAAGAAATTTCATTTTGCCTGTGCGTTTGCTGTGTAATGCGAACCATGCCATATTATTTGTATTTATATAAGTAGCTTTGATGTTATTTATAATATACACGTTTGATTTGAGAATTTATGATGCAAGACGTTTGATGTGTTTCATGATGATGGACCTTTCTTTGTCGTAGTGCAAGCAACACTACCTATTGCATGTTGAATGAATTTTATTTTTAAAGCTACACTATTTGACCAATATACTGGAACAAATGTACTATTCTTGTTAGCTCAATGAAACTCTATGTGTATCTTAATGCCGATACGATCAATGAGATTATTGGTGGTGCAATAATCTTGCAATGTCAGGGCGGTGGCGAGGCTGGCGCAGGTCTGCACGTGACGCGCGCGGTGTGCCGCAGGGCTGAGCGCTCCCTTGTTGCCCTCAAGCCTGCGTATGCTCTCGACCCCAACATCAACAAGTACATCAACAGGTAATATTGTCATGATGTAACAGTATATTACCTGCAAATACATTAGCACGTGCCTGGGTTGGTATTTTATTTTCTGTTTTACAGTAACCACAACAAATATCGTGATTGAATCAACATATTGCATTTCAAACTGTAGTTGAAGTTCACTACTCTGTGAAAGTTTTTAACGTCGAATTGTAATTGATAAAAAGATTTCTTTGATTGCAAGGGGCATTAGGTATATTTTATATTCTCTGAACTGATTTTGGCGGAATCTAAGCCTTTCATTAATTGTACTTCATTTGCCAGACTGAGCGACTTCCTCTTCACAATTGCCCGTTACGCTTCTATCGCTGATAACTGCAAGGAAGTTATTTACATAAACCCTGCGAAGCCCAAAAAAGCGCCACCTTGTGCAGAGTCTCAGAAGCTAACGGATGCTTAACCATCATGGACAATATGCAAGCACGACGCAACCATCGCATCTTCTGATCATGTGTATTCTGATCATAACACGTTTTGTGTTATGCTCGCTGTTGTTGAGCAGCGACATTTTGTGTTATGCTCACTGTTGTTGAGCAGCGACATTTTGTGTTATGCTCACTGTTGTTGAGCAGTGACGTTTTGTGTTGTGCTCACTGTTGTTGAGCCATGTTTTTTGTTATGCTCACTGTTGTTTAGCAGTTACGTTTTGTGTTGTGCTCTGTTGTTGTGCAACGACGTTTTGTGTTATGCTCACTGTTGTTGAGCAGCAACGTTTTGTGTTGTGCTCTGTTGTTGTGCAACGACGTTTTGTGTTGTGCTGACTGTTGTTTTGCAACGACGTTTTGTGTTGTGCTCACTGTATTTGTTGTTGTGCAACGACGTTTTGTGTTATGCTCACTGTTGTTGAGCAGCAACGTTTTGTGTTGTGCTCTGTTGTTGTGCAACGACGTTTTGTGTTGTGCTGACTGTTGTTTTGCAACGACGTTTTGTGTTGTGCTCACTGTATTTGAGCTGCGACGTTTTGTGTTGTGCTCACTGTTGTTGAGCTGCAATATTTGCTTTATGAACTCCTCTATCTTAATCTCCATTGTCAGGATTAGTTTCAAGCAGCAACTGTGATACGGTAAATTCTATTTCAATCGAGTTATCGTGCCGGCAGTTACCTGGGCGAATTGTTTCGACATTCTACTTCTACGGTAAATTCCTTTAACATATTTTGCTCCTTAAAGAAAATGCGGTAGATGAAAGAGTTTTTATAGCTTGGCCGTGCAGCTGATGTCTAAATCATTGTTGAATTTGTACCTTCACGTTGGAGTGTTGATGTACGTTTTTCCGTGTTATTAATAGAAGGGAAATAATCATAATACGTACCTATTTTCATATAAGGCTGAATATTTTTGGACTCTAGTAGATTTCAGTGCTCATTAATCTGAATTATCGAAACACTGGCTTTAAGCCAAAAGCGTTGAGTTCTTGTTTGCCACATGCGACGTTAATTCATGTCAGGTATAATCGCATCCCTTGCGCTAACTTGCCGTACGACTAGGGATAATGAGCTACATGTTACACGTTTTTCATCCGAATCAAATATTGAATTTATATCCTAAATTAATCGTAATTACGCGTTATTTTAAGTAAAGAAACAAACGTTTCACTTTTTAATAATCATGATTTAATCTATCTGAAACGTTCACATTGCATCATCAAGCTATGAAAATAGGGTAAATAGAGGAAATTTCATCATTGCAAAGATATATTGAGGCATCGTGACAACATCAACAATTATTAATATTATCTATTTAACCAAACCACATGTACTCGCATAACATAGTTGAGATTTATTTTTTTAGCACTTGAATGCCGGCTGAGCAGTGAAGATCCATTGAATTTAATCTTAATAATTAGTTTTAGTTTAGTTCAGTGGCCAAATGTTTACTAGCGCTTCAGCTATTAACCATCGTTGATCACAAAAACTACAAATCGATGTTAAAACGAAAAACTAGATTCGAAATATTCATGTTTTCACCATAAATTTGTAACGAAACCTTAGAATGATTAATATATTTTACCTTGTACTAGTTGAGCAACTTTATCCTCCTTTTCATACACATAAGAATTGATTACATTGAAATCCTTAATTAGGAAATGAAATGCAACCAAAGAAAAAGCACGCATGATGGATGAGAGTAGTTGATAAATAGCACGTGCTTTACCTCATCTCCTGCTTAGGACATCGAGGAAAAGTTCTCTAACTTCTAGTGTACAAATTAGACTAGCATATTATCTCCTAAATATGCATAAAATCAGCACGCAAGATGTGGGATGAATTGATCCTAGAATAGCGTGGAATGAGATTGATCTTTGGTGCTAATACAATACTTGAGAGAATCTTGAAGAAAAATGTAACTAAAAATTATGGGGTCCATCTTGATACCTGAACAAGCGAAGCAACAAGACAGACATGGCAGAGGGAAGCCGACTGGACGGATTGATCACAGACAATAACTGCGACAACTCTTTACTAAATAAGTGAGCTTCAACGACCCGCAAGTGGCAGAAAATCCCGTTAATTAACCTGAAGCATCATTGAAGATATGCAGTAGAAAATGCATAATAGTGGAAGTTAAATAGAGTGCTAGGTACTATTAAACAGTTTCTCATAAGTTACTTGCCATAATGGACGCAAGATTTTAGCATGCCGAGAGTATGGAATATCTACCACACAGATACAACTAACGAGTGCAAAGCTATTGTGAAACTATCCGTAATTGTGAGTAAAATTCATCTCTTTGTGAAACTGTCCGTAATTGTGAGTAAAATTCATCTCTAGAGGCCAGTTCAACATGTTAAGATGCAGACTAGTCCATAATCATCAGGGTAAATAACATAGCGTTGAGAATGCCAGTGAAATAGCTGGAACGTCAATGAGAATGTCTTTCCTGTTTCCAGCATCAGCAAGCGTGACATCCAAATCAAATCTCCATACCTCATACTACGTTCGGCTTGGGTAACGATATCGAACATTAGTTTGACTGACCTGAAAGTTTCAGATATGGTGAAGCTGAGATAAACTGTGCAAGAGCGGTTCTGCTTGACAGCGCTTCAACGTTTACTTAAAGAGCCATTAATATACAGACCAGCCCTCAGAAGATCTAAACGAAAACAATTTACTCTCGATGCTTCGCTTCAAGTCCATTATTTCTTGGGAATAAGCTTGAGGAGAGGTCGGAGCTGCGGTCGATATGTGAGAAGTTTTGTGTAAGTCTTGAGGAGCTTGCGCCAGTAGCAGCGCACGTCGGCCATGCGAAGTCGATCCGAGATGAAGTCGCGGCCGCGTTCAGCAATTTCTTGTGCCTCCAAGTCGTTGTTGCGCACAAAATCAAGAAGATTTCTGTGATAGCGGAAAATTTCATCATAATAAATTGGATGCACGTAACTCAGTAAAATTTGCTGCACATTTATCCGCATTCCATTTGTAAAAAACTTGTGAAAAATATTTACTCGTTGTTTTTCAAAGTAAAAATTGTTTCATCGGGTCAGAAATAATAACAATCACTTATTCTCGATGGAGGAAGAAACAGGAGAAATCGCATTTGACGGTTAAAATTAATAGCAGATGATAAAATTACAGACATTTTCTGTTTTTAAAGAAGCCTTGATCCTATTCAGGGATTGAAGTATGATAATTAGACAGATTAGATCAATAATTGAATACAAACAATCTTTGAGAAAGCTTCCACAATGAGGCACCGAAACTCACCGTAACTCTGACACTGGGGCGCCAGCAGGCACCGGCACGTAGTGGATCCAAGGCTTCATTTGAGGGTAGAAAAATTCGATCCAACCATCGGTCTGTAGAAAAATTATTCTCATGTAATTATTATCCTAAGAAAATTCAGAAAAAAATCCAACGAACCTTGGCCTGACATTCAAATGAAAACTTGGCAATTAATTGATTCTTTCATTGTTCTAGATGATTTAGCTATGAACAACTTTCAAACGTGTATCATTTTCCAACCTCCTGATTCAGACGGAAGAAAATAATAGAAAAATCCTCGCAATTTATTTTGCGACTTCAGGAGAATAATTTGTAAAACTTTCTAGTCATATTTTACCATAGATAATAGAATGTCAGTGCATGAACCTCATGAAAGACGAGAGAGCCGCACAAGAAGAGATGCTTGAAACGGAAGCTCGCCGCCACGCCATGGAAGTTGAACAGGTACTTGTAGGGGCAGTGATTCTCCAGGGACACCTCGGAGGCAGGCTCAGCGTCCAGAGTGTCCTAGCCGAGGCCAATGAGTACACGCTAAATGTGGTCATCAGTAAGCAGAAGGAATATAGCACCGTAAAGGCAATCTGAGATCAGGACAAATGACCAAACATAAGTGGAATAAATTGTTATCTATGAATGGCTTATCAGAAGACAGGGAATTTTTAAATATTGTGTAAAGGTATCACTAAACACAATGAACTTACCTTCTTGGATTTCCATGCCTGATTTTTAGTGTACTGCGCATCAGCAAGGTCAGGCTGCTCCCGTGAGAGCAGAACGATGCTGTCACGATCCGATGAAGTGCGGGAACCTCTAACGGGAACAGTGGAAGGGGAAATTCAAATTCTAACACCCAAAAGTCGCTCTGATTGCATTTGTAATATTAATGATTGCTTTTAAGAAGCAATTTTAGCCCACAAGTGTCACTAGCTAGCAACACAAAATATAATTGAGAGGAATTCACCATCGAGCTCACAAACTTACCTGTATACAAGGTAGTAATGATTGATATATTACGTAACAGTCTGGTAGGGTAAAATAAGCTAAAACTGTATAGTACTTTGTTATTATATAAAAATTTCATTTTTTAAATTCTCCCAGTAGATAATCATCAATGTTGCCATTTCAAATTAGATAACCTGAAGAAAGCTTTATTTTCTTTCTTCTTCCAAGGATATTTCTTAGCAGCCTTTTTGATAGTTTTTCGTCTAATGTCCCAGCGCCCAAGTCCTGTTGGATGCAAGGATATGGCCGGTCCACCCTCCCAAAAACTCCATGCTGGGTACAAGATGTCACCGTGAACTCCTTCTTGCTGAAACACGTTAATAGCACATTAACAATTAATTCCACAATAGTCATGCTTAGATAAGCAAACAATATTCAATTTTTCTGTATCTTTAATAACTTGTATCCTTAACTATCCCTTCTAATCAAATTTCCCTAATATCTCTCTTAATTTCTGTTAACAAGATTCTTATACAATAGTTTCTCAACTTCATTACAACTATAAGCACTAGAAAATCCCTAACTTGAACTTACTTTACTGAATGAGAAAATGGGAAGCTTGATGTCACTACTGCGGCTGTTGTAGACTTGAGGCCAGTCCCTCACATTCACAACTAACTCTGTGTCAGGAATATCTGATGCAACCTGGGAATAAAATCCAAATTGACACTTCCATAACTTTACCAATAAAGTCTAATTGTTTATAGCTTTTGCATGATTAAAGTTATTTTTCATTCAAATACTTTTAACATAAATGAAAGTCAATATGGCACATTCATCATTCATCATAGGGCACATTTGCACAGGATTGCACGATACCTGTTAAATTACACGCAAAAATATATATGCAACAGAAACAGAAAGGACCACTAAGCTTTCACCAAACCTGACAAAATGCTCACCTCGTTCAAGAAATGCTCAATACCAGCACACCGACTAGGGAACATGCATTCCTCATCTCGGTATACTTGTCCACCAATGATTTGGTACAGGGTGCCACTGCAAGGTACAATCAGTGCATGAGAGAATCCACCAGAAAGCGATGGTAGATGCATTGTTTTAAACATAGTCGGACGATCTTAATAGTTGGCATCAAATTCAACTAAAGATAACTAAGTTATAGTAAAGTAATACACCGAGATGAAAGAATAGTGACGCAGTAGAGGATTACTTGAGCAAAATTGTTCCGAGCAGCATACAAGCCATATTGAATATTTTTCATTAATTTCTGATTATCAAAGAAAGGCAAACCATATTCCGATGTCCCCAGCCTCAGCACACTTCAACCTCCAGCAGGTTAATGTACCTCAAAGGATGGCGGTTGTTTTAACGAGCCAAGGGCAATAATCAAGAGCTTAAGTCAAGCCAAGTAGGTGCAATAATTTCAAATAAACCAAGTCCAAGCAAATCATGTCCAAGGAAACCTTGGAGGCAGCAGAGGTGCAGGGCTGCTGCACTTAAGAAATTCCTATTTATTTGCAGCCCTGAATTGATGGCCAGAGCTTGGTGACCTCTCAACTCTTTCAAAACAAGTCTGCTTATCATGATAATGAGCCATTATAAATAAAATTATTTGAGTGTAGGTAAACAAATAACAGGATAAACCTCAACATTCATCCTCATTGCATAATTCAAATATTGAAATTCAGTTTACAGCAATGTATTAGTAAGCAATACTTGTAAAATTGAACAATTTACATTAATTAACTAAAATGATATAGTCAACTCTCACCTTTTCTTAGCTTGCTCCAGAGTTCTAATTGATATTCCATCTTTGAATGGCTTAAGATCAGCCTTGATCTGGGCATAGTGACAGGAACAGTTGGCATTACATGGGCTGTAAGACTGCTTGGCCTGGTGGATGAGCTGCAGGTAACTCCAATACTCATTGGATTCTGGAATTTTAAAGGCATAATTAAAAATTTGCAATTTAAATGCTACTCTATGAGGCACTTACTTTTAATAATAAGATGATATTACAATTCCATCATTCTACTAAGAGCTACGGTAAAATGGGGTTACTTTGACCGGTGGGTAACTTTGACCACTTTTCGTTTTTTTAACAAAAACCCCCAAAACTCAGAACTATTTGACATAGAAAAATTTTGTCAATGGCCATCAAAGGCCTAATACTGAGGCTATGTAACACAATAGAAAGATTTAAAAAGTTTGCATATCTAATAGGTTACAAAATTAATAATGTTACCCACAAAAAAGAGCTATTATTTAAGACCTGTTGGAGTACCCCCTCCAATTTTTTTATTTTTTGGTAAAATAACTCCAGGTTTTGATGCATTGTAGTAGAACTCTTCTAGTTACATATGCAAATGACAAATTTTAGGAAAGTGTCATAGTTTGCAAATGGGGGGCACCACCCCCCAATGGGGTAACTTTGACCACCTAATGGTAGCCGTGACAGGGTAACATTGACCGGCTTGGAAATTAAGTTAAAATTACCATAGGTACCTATATAACATATTTTATGTTTGATACACCTATTAATGTTTTTTCTTTATGTTTCAGACTCTACAGAGTCTTATATATGGTAATTTTAACTTGATTTCCAAGCCGGTCAATGTTACCCCGTCACGGCTGCCATTAGGTGGTCACATTTCGTCCATTAGGGGGCGGCGCCCCCGATTTGCAAACTATGACACTTCCCACAAATTTGTCATTTGCAGATGTGATTAGAAGAGTTCTACTACAATGCACCAAAACCTGGAATTATTTGGAGTTATTTTACCAAAAAATAAAATTGATTTTACCACCCGGTCTAAGTTACCCCAAGAGCTGGGGTAACAAAGACCATCACTTTTTTGGAAATTACATCAAAACTATGAGAGGCAGGAGCCAGCAATTTATGGTGAGTGAAGCTAGAGTATAGACCCGTATTTTGCATGTTTCAATCAAAGTTTAACTTATCTAGTAAAAAAGTGGCATCATTTTGAAAAAAAAAGTGGTCAAAGTTACCCCATTTTATGGCACATTTCAGGTAGGTTGTGAATAGTCAAGATCAGAGGAAGCCAATTATATGAAGGATTTATTGTCAGAACTACAGCAACCTCCAAGGTTCATCATGAAGGAGATCAATTCAGAAAGTAGCCAGAGCTACTTTCAATTTTAAACAAAAATTTTACCCAAAGGCAGCTATTCAATAAAACCTTACAAAGAATTGCCAGTCAAAAATGAAAGGTGTTGATCGATTGGTATTACTCTGATCACAATTACTGTCAAACGGGTTAATAAGGGACAATTTTGAGCATTTTTCCTTCATAACTTCTATCCATGAAACATTTCATAAATAAGTTTAGGCTCATTTTAAAGGTCTTTGCACAGGCTATTTTGTGGCATCTTTGAAGAAATTTCATATGCTATTTGTAATGTGCCAGACGCAAAAAAAGCATCCCAAATTACTTCTTGGAATGGGATTTTTTGGGACACTTGAAATAAAACTGAATTTTTAAATATTTGAAGCATGCAGAGAGCAGAGTGTACTCATCCATTACAAACAGTATAGTCAGATGGGGTAAGACAGGACCGAAATCACTAACAAGCCTGTAGCATCTATACCATGAATAACTATAGAGCTTATTTCCCAAACAGGGTTAACTATTTTGTGACCCTTCTTTACATAGGTTTTCTTTAAAAATTAGCCAGAAATTCATTATTTGCAGAACAGGGTTGCCATAAACACTGAAATGACAGGCAATGATTGCTCTAACATATTCTTTTGTCAAATTGAATTCAGTACAATTAGAATGCACGCCATGGGCTGGTCCTTTTTTACCCCATGAAGGCTGCGATCCTGTCTTACCCCATTTGACTATACTCCAAAGTCCTCCTCTAAGTCCTCTTCCTTTGTAGATGATGTAGAACAAATGATACCTATCTTCTGTGATTTGTATTTTGTACTTGTTTTTCTTCTATTAATATGATATTACCATTTCCATACATTATCGTATTATTGATGTGATATTACCGTATTAAGCATTTACAACAATATTGTCCACTGCAATCTAAATATCAGCAGTTGTATAGCATTTCTTCTGTATCTGTAAGCTTACAAATCAGGGCTTGTAATTTCACACCATTTCATGATTTTCATTGGGTCAAGTGAATTGAACTGAATTCACTATAACAAAAAAAAAAAAGATACAAGAAACATAGCTGAAACAGGAAGGAATATTTTTGTGAGAATTGTGTAGGTATGTGCACAAAGTAAGCTCGAATGTAAACAATGCAGGCAAAATGGCAGACAGCCACTTTCCGCATCAGCGCGCGTAAGGTATTTAATTTTGAAAGTCCTGCCAAAATGTTAGCTTAATTTGATTGACTTTTGTTTGGAAACAAACTATAAAAACTTGAACTATGACGACATCATTTTTTTTTTCGAGAAATGTCTATCAAGTACCTGCTTAGCTGGGATGTGCAAGAGGTAACATTTGGGCGGGAAATAAACATGGATATCATATTTTGAAATTAATGAAAGATAATTTGAAATCAAGATTATAGTTTTTAGAGCATGCTCTCAAAATTTCAGAGCTTTACAGCCATTCGGACAGTTTTTCTACCATGTCCTGTCGCGCTGTTTACGTTCAGTTCAGTCATGAGCCAGTGAGGTATGCTGGTCCTGAACTACTGCCGAGACTGAGACATGAGACAAGACATGAGATGAGGCATGAGACAAGCTACAAAACGAGACATTAGATGAGATGTGAGATGAGACGCAAGACGAGACACGAGACAAGGCATGAGATGAGGAGACAAGCATGAGACGAGACGTGAGACAAGAAATGAGATTGGACATGAGATGAGACACGAGAGGAGTCAAGACATGAGACGAGACTAGACACAAGACAAAATGAGGCACGAGATGAGATGAGGCACGAGACGAGATGAGATGAGGCATGAGACGAGATGAGACAAGGCATGAGATGAGATGAGGCACGAGAGGAGATGAGACAAGGCACGAGACAAGATGAGACGAGATGAGACAAGGCACGAGACGAGATGAGACAAGGCACAAGACGAGATGAGGTGAGGCATGAGACAAGGCACGAGACGAGATGAGATGAGGCACGAAACGAGATGAGATGAGGCATGAGAGGAGATGAGACGAGGCATGAGATAAGATGAGACGAGGCACGAGACAAGATGAGATGAGGCACAAGATGAGATGAGGCACGAGATGAGATGAGACGAGGCACGAGATGAGATGAGACGAGGCACGAGATGAGATGAGACGAGGCACGAGACGATATGAGACGAGGCACGAGACGAGATAATGAGACGAGGTACCAGATGAGATGAGACGTGACATGACGATGATGATCATATTTAATATTATTATTAATAGCAATATTTACTAATATTTAATATAATTAGTTAAGAATTAATATTAATAAGAATTAATAATATTATTATTACTAGTAAATTTTATTTGTGTATTCTATTTAATTTCATATTTTTAAGCTCAATTATGAGGCCAAGGCCATGAAACTGAAATTTATTCCATCCAATTCTGCCTTTAAGTTAAGTTATAGCATTCATATCTAGCAGTTGCACCCATTTCCCCCACCCACCTGCAGTCAAAGTCTCAACCATAATGTTTTATTCTAGTTAGAATCGATAGCCTACAACATGAGCTTTCCAATGGTACTATAAACTTTGAAATTGGCTCATAGGAAACCTACAAATGATAGTTTTTCCAAAAAAAAGTGACAGAAGTTGGTCCATTTTTGGGGTGAAATTGAAAATAGGAAAAAATTCATATCTTTTTCATTTTTTGACTTACTTCACTCATACTTATATGATATTTTTCTAAATTTTTTTCTCTTTTCAGTGGTGTAATTTTCATTACGATCAAAGGAAAAAATTTTTTTGTGCATATACCTAAATTGTGACAATCATTATCCTATTTCTTGGAGAATTAAATCATAGTTTAAGTTAATTACTTTTCATTCTAGGGTAAACGCGGTATATTCCGACACTTTAAGGACGCATCGAGAAATGAAAAACTATAAAAAAAAAACGTATGCGTTACGTAAGTTCTGTTGCCTTCACATGACTCTCAAAACACTTCACTACGCGTCAGCAACGATGAAAAGTCAAAAAATGTTGCCATATTTATTAAAAAGCCTTTAGAATGGAAACCTACCAAATCCCTATATTCCGTCATTTTGTGTGGCAACATCCGACACGTGGTGAGTCGTATTGCGTCAGCGCTTCAAATTTAACTGATACGTATTGCCGACATCCACGTGT